CCGCCTCCCTTTTCTGTTGCAGGCGCAACTTGGTCCACCCTGTACTAGACGAACCCCCCGTGCCGTCTTGGGTGCGAGTCTTTCTTTCCGTGATCGAGACTGCCTACCCGTCACAACTTGTCGGGGAAACACGCACAGGGGATTTGCAGCCTGCTAGCGACCACTAGCAGCTGTGGCAATCCCTCATCCCTCCGGTGACGACACGCTGGCTGCCACGCGCATCGCGACCATGAACCAGCAGCAGCACGACATGTACTACGACTACCCCCCGGCCCCGAACCGGTCGCCGGGTTCTACACGGCAGGGCTATGCGACGGTCGGCCTCTCAAGCCTCGGTGGACGGTCATCGCAAAGGCCCTTCGATACCGTGGGCCAGAACCCGTCGCTCTATGCCGAAGACCGGTTTGGCAACGCGTCAGGCTACGACACCATGTCGCGAATCGACCGCCTCGGGCCCAATTCCAACTACATGCTAGAGAACAGCCAGACCTGGGGATATAACGGTGGAGTGGCCACTATGAACGGCCCCATGAACGGCAACGGCAGGCTCGGCTCGCGAGCTGTCAACCGGAGAGCAGCCTTGCCTACGGTTCGTAACCCCCTCTGCATCACGGCCCAGCCGCTGTTTTTGCCCTATGTATTGTGCCCCCCCACTAACTGGATGTTCCGTAATGTAGACTTGGACTGAACAACCCGGCCTTGGCCATCCCTCAATGAACCAGTACTACGACCCCAACATGTCCATGAACGGGGGCGACGACCTATCGGGGATCACAGATGCACGGGTACTCAGCACACCGGGGTCTTCTGACGCCGAACAGCTCATCCCCACAGCCATTGTGATCAAGAACATCCAGTTCCAGTGCCGAAAGGAGATACTGCAGGGCCTGATGGCATCCATGAACCTTCCTCAGCCCTATGCCTTTAACTACCACTTCGACAAGGGTGTCTTCCGGGGCCTGGCTTTTGCCAACTTCTCCACCCCCGAGGACACGGCCATCGTGATCCAGAAGATGAACGGCCTCGAGGTCATGGGACGGAAGCTCCGCGTCGAGTACAAGAAGATGCTGCCGCAGGACGAGCGGGATCGGATCGATCGTGAGAAGCGAGAGAAGCGTGGCCAGCTGGAAGAGCAGCACCGAGCACCTCTGCCGCAGCACCAGCAGACCGCCCTGCAGGCCCTCGGTGTCGGCGTCAACAAGCAGCCCAATGGGTCCCCTATCCGTAAGTTGGACGTCGCCGACAGACGGACGCGCAGTGCTCCATCTGTCCACCCTTGCAAACCCGCTTACATTTTAGACCTAGGCGATATCGACCTGAACAACCCCGACACGCTGGAGTTCTACACGCAGTTGACCATTTTCAAGAACGACCCCAGCCGCGAGAGTTACATCTTCTCGCCCGATATCGCCCCCGAGCAGCGACGCCAGATCCACATTCTGGCTCACAACATGGGCCTGGAACACCACTCCATTGGCGAGCATGACAGACGCCAGCTTCAGATCACCAAGAAGAGCCAGAGCTCCCCCACCGGCCATGTTCAGCAGCAGCTGCCCCCGAACGTCTCGTGGGAGGATCACCGCCGCGGTTTGAGCCGTGCCGCCACCTTTGACTTTGCCGAGTCGAGGATCGGGGCAGGCGCCTATCACACCCTTGGCAGAGAAGGGCCAACTCTGCAGCTTCCCGGCAACCTGGACGGAGGCATCCCCAACAACCTGCGCGCTGCCAAGAGCTTTGCCGATCTCCGAACCCACAGCCCTAGCCCCGCGCCATCGGGCTCGAGCTACGTTGGTGGGCTTGGTAATGGCCTAGGGGGCTCACGATACGGCGACTACAACTCGTTGAACACGCCCCCTAACTTGACCCCGACATCTGCTCAGAATGCTGCGTCGAGCACGGATGCGCTCCTTGCCGGCGGCATGGGATCCATGAACCTCGGCTTCGACGCCAATGCGCCTCACCTGCGTGCCAGAGATGCCCCGGGTGCTATTGGCAGCCAGAGGCCGGGCAACACCTCCGCTCCTAATCGCAACGCCCCCGATCGTCAACCCCGAGGTCCTGAGTGGGGAGAGGCTTTCAACGGCCGCAACCGAGGCCACATGCAGAGAGGCAGCGGTATGTGATATTCCAGGTCACTAGGTATGGATTGGCTAGAAGGCTAACATCGTCACAGACTCCTCAGACGCTGGCCGGAGCTCTGCTACCTCTCGATTTCACTAGAACACCCCGTTGATGACGAGGACTGCTGTCATGCACCACCTGCAACCTCATGACGGCATCAACGAGAGACGACTTACGACAAATAGACTCCAAGCCTGAAGCATTTCGGCGCCAACCCTATCATGTCTTGCCAGACCGGTCGACATGCCGTGATTCTCGAAATGCATTATCCCCGCGCGCTATTTTCTCTCCTAATCACACCTTGTAATATTGATTTTGTCGTTCCATCCTTGGGAGTTGAGATTTTTTGAAGCTGCATTTTCTGATGGGTCATCTCGATGTTTGGACTGAGAGGATTTGTCTCGCCGAGGGCAATTTGCAATGGCAACGACCGCGGCATCGCTTTTTCCTCTCTGGAGAGCTGCCATGTTGATAACCTAGTCATATATACCCTTCGACAACGGCTGACGCCCCCGCCTTTCACGCCAATCTTCTCTGGATACACCATACAGCGTCTATATGGGCAACCATTTACGGCATCACGACTCTACTCCTATACCCAGTCTTTGGGATTTCTCTTCGAATTCTGAGCACCTGTAATAGGCGACTCATCTCCGAGAGAGTCCCTTTTACGATGGTTACGCTGTTATGACGCATACGCACATCATTTTAGATGGCAAGCGCGATGCTGGCTGGCTGGCCAGCGATGTGAAGCTTAATTAAAGATGCTCACGGAGCATAAGTCAGCACCTGGAGGACGTCGAATTTTGACACTGGCCAGAAGCCAGTCCATCCACTTGCTTGGACATGAAGAACGACACGACGGGGATGAAACTGGTGGAAGTTGATATTATTTTTGGAAATGCGACCAAAGTCGTCACGATGACGAGAAAGAGGTGCAACGAACCGCGAGGAGACACGAAAGCTCGATCGACAGTTTTGTATACCAGTGCATTGTTTCTCTTTTCTTTTTCTGCTACGTTTTTGCGTTGCACTTCCGCCCACACCCCGCTCCTATCGCCACCGCATTATCACCCCGATGCCGGACTTACCAACTCTCGCACCCCATCTCTACCACCTTTTAATCTCAACCTCTCCTGACACGCCTCTCGGGAAGGTATGCGCGGCTTGCTTGGGAGTTTGGAAGGACCACGGCGCCTTGGAGGCTGGCGGGAAGAGATTTGGCGGGGAAGATGGGCAAAAGAAAAAAAGGAGGCCGTGCGGGTTAGTAGCATAGCCGAAGGATAACACTCGCTTAGAGATGCAGGGGACAATATATGAAAGAAAAAGTTTTGAAATGATATATGCTTCGGCATCTTTTATCAGTGAATGGCACGTGTTCGCGAATACACATGCACCTAGATTTTTCCGAACCCTCCTCCGAGAGGTGATATATAGGACGATGGGCTGGCGACTGGACAACTGCTCATGTGCTGGGACCTCAGCTTGAAGCTGAACCGTGAACAATGTTGGAGTCACAGTCACACCTCACCTCACCTTATCACTGCAATTCAGTTAGACTCTCTGTCTAAGTTGGCCAATGTCGACTCATTCCAGCTCCCTGAGTATCAACGGCAGGGTTAGGTAAATCTTGATATGGAAATGACATCCAATATGGAAACTATTCAAAGCGCAATTGAACCTTGTTCCCCTTTAAAGTAAGGCTCAACCTGGAAATATGTAGTGAACCCCTTACAGTACCTCATCGAACATCCAGCAAACCTGGAGCATCGCCAGGACATAAATAAAGTTTGCTAGCATCCCTATCAAGGTATCTATATCTCTTACTACTACCCGTGCTGCTTTACAACTAAGTACCCGGTAGTTCTTGTACTTTATACGCATCATAGTTGGGCCGCATCCACATTTCCACATTTCCCGAGTTCTGACAGTATTAATTGAGATGCAATGAGTAAAATCACAACTCTGGATAAGATAGACGTAGTCATGTATTTGTTCCTATCAATCTCATGGCCGCCCGCGTGGGTTGACGATCCAAATGCCAAATCGCCTTTTCTCGGACTTCTCATCAGGGTTTGACGGATCCCAGCCTAAGTAAAACCTAGAATCTTCGCCCAGTCGAGTCTCAACATCCTCCCAACAAAGTGGCTCCGGGCCCCCGTCGTATATATGCTCCAACACATTACCTCCAGCAAGAAGAGCAAGCAAACTTCCAACACTCGATGGGCTCCGTGGCAATGCGGGCTCCCTCGGGCTTAACCACCAACCCACTACTGATAATATCAAAATACTTAGTAACAAAGCCTCGAGCAGTGCGGTCGCAATCGGATCCTGAACGATACGCTGTCTTCCAAACGGGTATGTGACTGTTGCTGGAAATCTGGGCGGGTCTCCTGATGTTGAATCGTTGAACAGAGTCGGAATCAGTACGTTCGTTGCGTTTTCCGTCACATCCGAAGAATTGATGTCTATACGATAGTTTGCACTCAAAAATTGTGCTTCAATGATGCCATGCTGAAACCGGATGGCGTCCATCACAGTCTCAGATTGAGTGGGATCGCCAATTGCGGAAACCGGTATGGCATATCGTGATGTTACCAGTTGTTGAAAGAAAGGATCGAATACAGTGTTATGTGCTGTCGGGAGTGAAGCAAGGTTTTTGTATAGCTCGGATCTAGTAAATGAACGAAGAGTTCCATGCTCTGGAATATCTCTGGCAGTTGATTCAATAATTTGTGGAGTATCAGAAAGATCTAGATGTAGATCAGGTCCGAAGAAGGAAAAGGTGGTATCCACAAGCTCCATGGTATTATTACACCCAACCGCAGATATGTTGGTGACGTACCCAGGTGATGAGTCGTGGTAGCCCCATATGTATAGAAAGCTATCCCAACTCTCAGTCTGTATTCCTCCAAATTGCGTTGCTGTTGCAGCGGCAAACAGGCATTCCGAGAGTTTTCCAGTCCCAAAGAAAGTGGTACCAGAGCGATGGTCAGAACTCTCGCGCCCCCCCCCCAAAGGAATGTCCACGGTAATGTCATTCGTTGGATCAAGGAACGGTGCCACTGAATAGTTGAGCTTATAGACTGCTGTGATATCAGACTGGGAATATACTCGGCAAGATAATCATGGCCTCAAAGCTGGCGCTGCAACCCTAATGCTAGCCGAAGAGGCATTACTTGTATGGGGGACATTTTCGATTTCCAGAGGTGCCATAGAGAATGTAGGAAAGACGAGGTTCTGAAAAGACCGCTGAGAATATGACAAATTAGTCTCCAGAAGTAAGGATGAAAGACGAGATGTTCCAACGTATTGAGACCCTATACCCTCGAAGATATGAGATGCGGCATGATAGGTGATCTCGGTTGATCTTGGTGTTGGTGTTATGAAGACTGTATTTGGTAAGAGCTTGACAAGGCTTGAAACTGGATAGGTAATAACACGGAACATGGCGGCAGATACCGTTGTCAGGCTGGCTCCAAGCAAAGCAGCAAGCGTGGTTGATACAGCAAGGAAATTCAAGGTTTTCAGCTCCTGGTATAGAACAGACGGCATCAGCCCTCGCAACAGATTCATCTGTAAAACTCCACGGCTGCACCTATCGCGCTTCAAAGAATTGTAAGGAGTCAAGAGCCGAACTTGGGTATCAATAGATGACAGCCACCATGAGATAATAGTTCCGATTGTGGCCGGTACTATCGTCCAAGCATAGAGGAGGTATTTGGAAACGTCGGCATCCATTAAGCCCTGCTGATTGGCAGACATCCTAAGTAAAATCATCAGTGTAGTTCCGCATGCTATAATGGCTAAGAGCAAAGTAATTTGGCTGAGCGGTCGCAGTGCGAGCGGGTTTTCAAATAAGGTGTTTCGAGATGATGCTGGCCCCTCCTCTTTCCTGGTCCCTCTACGGTTATCTAGTTGTGTATTGCCACTTATGGATGAGTGAGAATACTGCAATGGGCAAGAGAAACGGCCATCAAGGAAGCTGTCTAGCCATTTGTGCAATTGCTCTGCGTTTGCTGACCCAAGATCCCTCGAAAAGTTGGAGGATGCAACTTCGCCAGCGAGCACGGCCGCCGCTGCAATGGATCCGGGGTTGATCCTGCGTGTCAAAGTCTTTTTACTTTTGAATTGAACCCACACCATGATCAGTATGCATACAGCCAATAGTGTAATCATCGCTTGGCACACGATTGGTTGGACCCATAGGCGCACCACAATGGTTGAAGAAGTTCCAGTAGAGGCGACGTTGGCTCTTTCCGTAAGCATAGCATGAGCTGTGGCCGCCGCATAATTGGAAAGAAATGCAGCCAGAATATCTTGGAGAACTGTATCGTCCATGAGTCTCGATGTATTCATGCAAGACTGACCACAAAACTGCAAAACAGCTTCAGAGGTCTTATCAGCCCACACAACCGTGCTACCGGCTATGACTTTTTGTGTTGAAATGATAAAGTCGTGGAAGAAGAATTCGACAAAATGCCAAGGGTGAATGTATCTTAATGAATTGGCAGATCTGCCTTTGCGCTGCAAAACACTTCGTACTCCTTCGTTGCTCCGAGAAACATCAAGCAAAGTTTGTTCCAGGGAGGGAGCACACGTCAATGCAACTCCACGTACAATTGCCGCATCCAAGTTGACTATAGTCGTCTCTTTTCCCTCAGAGATGATGGTTTGGTTGATTGAGCGCCACTCCACGTCCACAGACACGAACACCAAGCGATGAGCATCTTGGTCAGTTGAGTTACAGTACTTGCTTGCGAAACCCGGAACAACACGCAGCATCATCCCATGCTCGCGAAAAGTTTTGTTGTTGTCAACCCAGATATAATCTTCCGGGTTAGAGGTAAAGATGTCCCACTGAATGGTTGTTTTGCAACCTCGGTAGCTGACTTCGAAATATGGCTCATCTCCAACTGTCATAACATAACCCACGTCAAGGAAGTGAAATAGGGGCATCGTTATTGTCCTTCCTACATCCACTCTCTCGCATGCCAGGCCAAGAGCTAGTCCGTCAACAGTGGCCTTCGTCTCCATCAAACTTGGGGAGGCTGGATAAAATGTCTGGTAAGCAAATTGATTCGTGCAACCTTCGGGGTATGTCGGGCGAGCACTATTGGTATTGCTCAGGTTATTGATTCGAGACATTGAAGGTTCGGTCCCCATAGCAATATAGTACGGAAGAAGGGAATCGTTATCCTTCAGACGTGCCGGATCATCTACAAATCGACTTGTCAAAATTATAGGTTCAATATTGTTGACCAAATCTGTCGGAGCTAGCGCGAATAATGCGGTAGAGAGCACGATCAACACTTGAAGCAGTAGTGATATAGTAGAGCTGCAAGCCACCTCATGATCCTGATTCCTGAGAGCCCGAAAGGGGACTAGCAATGACCAAGTATCGACGTAGTCAACGAGCAGGGCTACTTTGCTTGCAGTGACTGGGGATGCCTTTAACCAGGGTGCCGAGACCTTTGTTTCGTAGTCCACCCGGTGCCAAAATGCGGCAGCCAACGTCAGAATACCAGTCGTTCCATAAGTCCATAAGTATCGTATAGACGGCACCCCCCCGGATAATCCGAATTTCCACTGTGAAACGGCGAACAGTACCTCCAGGATTGCAATCATAAGTGCAAAACCTGACATGATGAAGAGAGAAGTTGTCGTTCGTAGATAAAAAGGCAGCCAGGATGTGCCTGGATTGTGTTGGCCATGCTGCGTCCCACAAGAAATTTGTGATAGGCCATTAGAGTATCTTTCTTCTAGCATCCTGTGACTAGAGTACTGATGACTCTTGAAGTTGTCCGATACTGACGTGAGGTAGCTGCGCGATTTTGATTGCCCTAGATCTGCGTAGACGATGGGTTGATCAGCAATGGGGCGTTTTCTCTGAGCTGTTGTTGATGAATCGAGCCCAGAGCCTCGGCAGAGATCATCAGATTCTGTAACTAAGTACATGTCTGGTACTTGAGTTGGTCGCTCCTGGCACACAGTATCGAAGGCTAAATTCATTCTGGGCGCCGGCTCTCTCTTAGAGATCTTTTCGGACCGGTCACAAGTCCGAAGGAAAAGGATCCGCCTTAATAGGTCGATAATGTTTGCAGTACGATCCATAATATGTGACAAGGGAACCGTGCTTCAGTACTGAGTGAGCGAGACTCGCTAACCCCAGAGATGTAACTCGATTATGGTAGATAAATGGAGTGAGAATGCTGAACCAATGTGACTATATGGTTGTCTGGCTCGGTGACATGCCAATGAAAGAAAAAGTTGGAAGTGGCACAGTATAGATCGAAGATCAACCCCTAATATACTTTCCCGTCCAATATGCATAATGACGTGTTCTCTTTACACAGGTGAGCCATACGAGGCAGAATTTCCTCTCCATTGGGGGCAAAGCTATGCCACGACTTGGTATTTTAAATTTGGATGAGGCCAAATTTGAAGGGGGGCCGTGGGGTCCTGTTGAATCGCCCTCACAGCAGTAGCGGGGGCCCGACACGCTCTCCATGTTTAAACCACGCAGAGCATGCACGCAAGCATATCATGCAGGACTGGTTGGGCTAAAATACACTTACTGCCATGCTATGTAATCTCGATTGTGACACTGTGAGTGTGCCTGTTTCAGATGGCTGAGGCAGTCTCTGAGTTGAGGCCGACTTTAGCCATTCGAAGACTGTCACACAGGGATGCATAGCCATAAGTCAATCTGGTACCTGGCAGCCCTAGGGAGAAAATTCCACTATGAACTCCTGAGTTTAAACGTAGGCTGGGCCCGCGGGCAAAATCAGAAGGTGATAAAAGTTTGCGCGGTTGTATCCAATCGGCTTCTGCATGTCAAAGTTACTTATGCACCAGCGCCTAATACGACCTGAGTTGTATTGATATGCAAGAGTCAAAATATAGAATACTTCTTTCGGGCTGCAGGGCTGAGGTTAGGGGCTTGTAGGCCCGTCCTGTGTAACAGGGCAGTGGCGCACGAGCAACAGTGCCATCAGCCACTCCGTGGTGTATCACCTGGCGAAGCATTCAAGGCTATGCAGGACAGTTTATTCTCGTAGCGTTTGAACCTTATCCTACCCCATGGAGTCCATATAAACACAAAGACAGCCAACGACTCCCCCCTCCCCTGCAATAACTATACACAGTCGTCCCTATACGCAATTGTCGGACTCTGCTGACAATACCCAGCAACATGTGCCCACGTCGCTGGGCTACGCAGAGGACTGGGATGTTCACCGCCAGACTACTACGCGGCTTTACATCCATGAGAACCGGAAGCTAAAGGAAGTCATGGCCATAATGAGAGAAAAGCACATGTTTCTCGGCACGTAAGTTACACTACTCTTACTGACGAGCTATGGTAATACTGACGGCCAAAGTAAAACAATGTATAAGAAACGGTTGAATGCGTGGAACCTTGTCAAGAACTTGAGCTTGATTGATACGCCCGAGATCCTGCAAGAGACAGAGAAGAGTTCGACAGCCCAAGAAAATATGTTCGTCATTAGGGGGAAGCGAGTCGATTCACAGAAGGTTGCCCGATACCTGAAACTAAAGGTTGAACAAAATATGACTAGCACTAGCAAAAAATCGGAAACTCCTGCGTCTCCCAACGTTTCGCACGCGACCTACGGTCTGTCACAGAGCCGGAACTCCAGAGATATCAACGACCTTCTTTCGCTGAAGCCTGCCTGGCTGACTTCACCAGAGGCTATGAGGATTCCAGAAGATATAATCAGTATATCCCACCAATTTATCGACAGCTCGATAGACAGCAGTGCTGATGGGCTCAGGGTTCTAACTCTACCATTAAATGAAACATTCATATGGTCAACGAGAGTCTACTATGCCAGATCTCTGGTTCTTCAACGGCAATCCAAGCACGGATTCATGCTTCTTGATAAGTCCTGCGAGGAACTCAAGGGACTTATTCTCACCCCGGACCCAGCTATCCCCATATGTACATACATGGCATTTATGACCCTCCCATCCGGAGTTGGACAACAATTGCTTTTGTATATTGCTAATATATTTAGAGTGATGCTTCCCGCACGCCATCCGATGAGATTGATATGGGCCGAACTAAGCCACATAGGACCGAGCCAAACAAGGAATGATGCGTCGCTAAACCTTTGTTCCTACCTCAGCTTTCTGGAGCGGAAGTTCGGCGCAAATGATCAGGCCATCTTCCTCTTCACAAGTCTTGTCTACGACCGCATGAACAGCGTGGGGCTACTGAGCTTGGATGCATCAGAGATGATTTATAGACGTATTGCGGGGCAGTTGCAGAGCTCAGGAAACACAATGGAGACACTGTATTGCAACCTGGGGCTTGCTCTCGCTTACCGTCGCTGCAAACAGCACAGGAAGGCCGAGACCATTATGGACGGACTACGCCTGCAGGCTCGAACAATGAGAGGAGAGATAAAGGAAGACATCGACCAAAACATCTTGGCTTTGAGCTAGTTCTCCACAGGTGGGCCAGGCATATGAAAGTGGGCGTCAGGGCAGCAAAGGACCACGTAACGCCTGGTTGGAATGAACCCGAGCACTACCGCCCTTGGACATGGGGATTGGTTAGCGAGTTGCTTGATGCGTACCGGAAACTTGGATTTGGCCTGCTTGATGCGTACCGGAAACTTGGATTTGGCCAATAACTGGTTGCCAGAACAAGGATGAAGCGGTCGCACGAAATAAACTCTAGACCAACCAATTAATACTGCCTACTCATCTACGATGTCAGCCGAGCGAGGAAGAAGGAAGAGTTGGACACGGCTGAACCTTTTCTTTCTAGTCTTAGTGCGGTGAGAATGATCGCTCTTGACGAATGTGAATCTAAATGACCAAACCCTGCGCCCCGGGAGATTCAGTACCTTCCATTAGCACATTTTATTCTCAATGGGACTTCAGGACGGCTCCTTTCTTTGGTCTTTTTACGGCTTGTCTGCCTCTATGCTCTCTTGCATATGTGATAGAGATACTGAAATAGCTATTGAGCCCAATGGCTGTCAAGAACTAGCAATCATAGTGTTTGCTCATACTTGTCCAAGAACCTGACTATAAGGTTTTCAGTTCTTTCTCTTATGGCCTTGAGCTGCTCTGCCGTCCTACGCTTCCTCATCAGCGGGTTGTCCAATTCGAACGGACTCAATATATCTGTGAACCAGTAGGTGTCTGCGATTCTCTCAAAGTTTGAAATAGTCTGAGGTCTTGCTGCGCCAGCCTGGGCCAGCGCATCATCCCACGCTTTAGCAACGTCCCACTCGACATCCGAGGTGTCTTCAATTGAGGAGAGACGAGAGTACCCATTGAGCATTGCGTTTCGAAGTTGGAGCTGGGCTCCATCTTCCAGTGGGCCTGGAAGCTGGCCGCCTGACATGTTGCCAAAAGAGAATAGCATGAATTCCTCTACGATTGTTCCGACGTATGAAAAGTCAAAATCTAGTATCGCAGTTACCTCTAAGGTGGAAGGATCAAAGAGAAGATTGTTGGTTGCTAGAAGCGGTCAGCACTAACAGTTTGCAACGATTTGAGCTTCACAAACGAAAGTGGGCTTACAAAAGTCAGAGTGGACTAGCACTTTCTCGGGATCTTCATGCTCCTTCAAAATATCTCCTAACCGAGAGTTGATGAAGTTGTCAAGTCTCGCTCTCACTCCTTTATCTGTCCAACCTTGCATGACAGGGTTTTCGTCGGCTTCCTGAAGCTTCACAGAGAATATGGCGCGGATGAACTCGCTATATGTCGCACTAGGCTCTCCCTTGTATATTGTCATCTGCGCGCTGATAATGTTACCACAATCATCGAACCTCAGCCCACCAAATTTGTCGATCGTCTGTGGAACCTTAAACTTCTGAAAAAGTGCCAGGATATCGGCCATTTGCGCTAGCACAACTGATTTGTCTTGCAGGGTGAGATCCTTGAACACCTTATCAGGCATGATCCCATGCATGTACTGCTGTACTGTGAAGCCCTGGCCAGTAGCTACGCTTGCCCAAGCGTAGATGTCAGGGACAATATGACTGTACTTGGACCCGGTAAGTGCCTGTCTAGCAAGAGTCATCGAAGCAACCTCGTTCTCAACACGGTTGGTGTTGTTCATTCCCGTCCTTGGGTCAGCATTGGCTAGTCTGAGGATCAGGGATTTGGTATTTGCTGGCATTGGCACAGTGCCTGGCTGCGGTTCATCGGACTGAGCTGTTCGGAATGTAGTCGCAGTACTTGGCGGCGATGGCAAAGTCACGAGGTAGATGTAATTGTTGTACGGATGCTTGCTGTTCATATTATACTCGACAGTTTCGATCTTGGGAACCTGGATTATCGTCAGCGGGTTTTACTTCGGTGACCGATCCCTATAGCTTACTTCCAAGCCATTCAACTGGAGAATCGACTTGACAAAGTCGAGACGTTGGTGGTAATTTTCATGATTCATCGTGTTGAGATTACGACTGAATGGCAGATCGAGCAACTCGCAGCTAGAACAATTCTTTCGGATTGCGGCACGAGAGAGACTGAAAAGGAAAGTGATCCTGCCTCGACCATGAGTTTTTGTCTGTTTTCTGCTTGGTGATAGCCAGCTTGCGGAAGAGATCTGTGAAGAGTTCGCCTCGTGGGCGTTTTGAGTAGATAGGGAATAAGGAGACCTCTGTCTCGCAGGCACTGGAGTGCTTGGACAATAGGCAGACAGTACGATCGACCGAAATATCTATCGCTTCACAAGGAGTCTGACCTCTTGATGAGTTACGGATTAGTGTACCAATTCGATTGGCCAAAGGTTTGTACCACGCTGTGTGCTTTAGCTCAGTATCACGGGAACTCTGTTTCGCATATACTAAGCTACTTAGGAAGGTGTTAATCTGCAGTCCAACGGCACAACTCACTAGGGGGAGGAGGTGGAGTGGGTTTGTGGCTGGCATCATAACTTACGCGCCGATGGGCTGAGCTGCAAGTTGGTTGCCAACAGGATGCTGAAGTAGCCACCCGGCAGGCAACAAGGTTGTATTCCGCTCTATGGACCATGCGAGCCGGTTGGACACGGTTGCATCTCCAATGTCCAGGAACCTCTTCAATCGGAATGGTGTGCGGCGCCTCAACGTTGCAGTTCTGGCCGCGCCAACAGGGCAGACTGCAGGGGTTGGGGACCGTGACAGCCCCTAGAATTGTGAGGTGTCTCCACCTGTCATCTGCACAAGGCAAGCGCAAACTGAGTCATGGCCAGGAACATACCAGCCTTGGGTCCTATTAGTTGGGAAAGCCCACAAAAAGATATGCATAGTTTGCCGTTCAGCCTAGCCTGTTCTTGGCTATCCGGCATCAAGGGCCGATGAGAGGATCTAGGACCGCGAGCCGATGTGCAAACAGATGTCCAGCGCCGTGCATTATCCAGTAGCTAGGCCTTTCTCCCCCGCCCCGTCTACAGTACATCGATTAGTGAACCCAGCGTCTGATTAGTCCTCATGCAATATTACGGCACGTCGTATTCACCCCGCCAGCTTGATTTGCATGAGAACCTTGGATGCGAAAGTCAGCCAGATTTGCGGAACGGTGCCATCGGCCAGATGGTCAATGTTGCCTCACTACAGGCCTGGCATGGCGTCTAGGAGAACGTTGATTAAATTCACAATCATAGCGTGATACCAGACGAGTTGGCAGTCGTGATTATGATCAGTCGAAATATGCTGCCGGACCGGTCTGCATTAAACTAGTGATTCTTGGAATAGTTTGCTTCAAATGTCACGGAGCCTTGCTCGGATCAGCGCCCGCAATGTATCCCGATGAACAATGGCACCCGCTTGCTGGACCAAGACGATGAAGATAACAATTCGGCGTAGAAACAGCGATATCATACCGCTAATTTGAAGTGATATCATCAGCAGTATCTGAGCCCTGCAGCAAGTGGTATTAGTCGTTGTTGCTTGGCGTCTAGAAGACATGTTGACTCCTCATGTGACTATTGAGTAGTCAGGGTGGGAGAGTTCGAGCTCGCTATGGCTCAAAGAAGGAGCCGACTTACAGAATTGTCGGAGAGTTGGTGAAGAAACCCACAGACTAGCGAAGAACAGACTGCATCCCACTCAGAACCAACTCGTAATCTTTGAATTTATGCTTGTATACTGTTGTGTCGCCACTCCGCCAAGATGCATTGGTATCTGTCTCGAGTGGCAAAGCATTGATGGACGTATTGAGAGTGGGTCGCGGTGGGGGCTCTTGCACACTCTCATTCGGGGTGATTTTGTCAGTTTCTGTCTCAGTCGCTGAACGTAACCAAGGCTAAAGATGTTGAAAATGCCTTTCTCAATAATGGTGCTGTCTCCAGTCTCCAAGCGCTATTAGAGACTCCGCCACAGGCAAGTCTCTAAAGCTATGTACGCAATAAACGACCCTGGAGCGCCCTCTCTTGAGCAGTCCTTTGGGTCCAAAAGCTTGCAGGGAGGCTTTCTCTTCTGTATCTGCAGCCAGACCGCTGAATATGTTGTATAGTGTTAACATATCGCTTTGTAGATATAGTGCTGGCGGGAGGCAGAGGCGTTGCTTTCGCTCTTTAGTTTAAACCCGCGGTCATGATAAAGTCGGCATAGCACAGCTCCCAAAAAGGCATTTGTGGATTGACCAACCATTGAGCGTGATGTCTGTTCCAATGTTTTCCCTGTTAGTACGGGCAAGCATCTTTGTATTCTGGGAGCCGTACGCGTCGACCGAGACAAGTCTTCTTTTGTAATTTCGGTCGTTTCGGGGTGCCAAAATATTCGTAGATCTTCATATTCATGTCAACAATGTGTCGGTCCCCATCCGCTGTATATGCAACTCTGTTAGTGTGCATCATCTCGTGCAGAATTATGTAGGCTGGACAAGGAGTTAGTGTACATTCAAGAGCATTAAGCGCGTGTTCGTATAGTACTGCATGTTGTATTTGTGGCTGTAGTCTGAGTCGTCTTTGTACTCATTGATCCGATCCACCAAGTTTTATAGCCGAAGAAGCTACTACACACGTCGAGATTCAGGGTCGCACCTTTGTCATCGTGAGGTCTTTTCTTGTCCCATCGGAGTTCCCGGTGTTCCAAGTGTAGGCTTTCAGACCTGGCCCCTTCGCTTTACACCTCGAGTCAAGTTCTCTGTCAACGTTCGCACCGCAGCCAACGTTGATTCGAATCTTAAAAGGCGTGGGAGTGATTTTACATCCTTGTCCAAATTTCCAGCTTCCGCGTATGCTTCTTTCCACTCGACCTTCGGTATCCGAGTTGATGATTACATTCCAAATCACAGCAACTCACGTGGCAATAGTTCTCGTCGCGGTAAACAGTCATGGCTTTTTTTTTTTTTTTTTTTTTTTTTTTTTTTTTTTTTTTTTTTTGATGAGAAGTCTACCAAGGCCGAAATCCCTACACCTCTTACCCCAGACGCCAAATCTAGCCGGACACGCACCTTCAAAACCCTTCTCGCCATCCTCACTCTCCTGTATCTCGCCGCTGCCACCTTCTACTGCTACCAAGAAAACACATTATCTCCTTCTTGGGACGATGGCTCTGGATGGCCCAATCCCAAGATCCCCGGCCCTGAACTCCCCGCCCCAGTCGAGCCATTCGAGCCTCTCAATCGCTACAGCCTTCACCACGGCAAGGTCACTTGCTGGTAGGACAGCGGAATTTGGATCAAAGAGCTCACGCCAGTGGTACTTTACGTGCATGGAGGAAGCACAGACTAATCATAGACCTCAAGATGCGAACCCTGTTAAGGGCACAGTTCTCCTACAGTATTGGTAAACAAAGACCAATGAGGTCCCTGAATAGGCCGAATCCAAATTGTGGATCACTCATGGATTCATGGATATAAGCGAAACAAAGAGAATGAACTAATCTAGCAGGTCTCATGTAGTGTCCTACGACATAGCACTACACCATTCCGATCGCATAATATGCCGGCCATGGAACGACACGCACAGAAAGCCAAGGCTTCCTAGCCCGGCTCAGAGGATTACTATCATGTTATGGTACCCCGATCGTCTCCTGCTGGGCGACTCAGCTAGATGCTTACCCAAGAATGCGGTACTATTTCGAATTGCACAATATCAAAACGAAGCATGGATAAATCGGACACGTCAGGCTACTTGGTGGAGTTTGTCATCGACTTAGATCAAGACACTGGGCCTAATGTTGTACCGTCCGTTGAGAGCGAGAATGATCCCAGAGTCTCAACAGGCGAAGGCGAACCTTTTTTTGGCCATCAAACAGCTACAGGATACACTTCTGTTGCTCTACCAAGTAATGAACAGCAGACCATTGCATAAAGCTCCCAAAGAGCGACGACAAAATTGCATATTATCTATAAATAGTCCGCTACTTTAGGCTGGCACACGCCTATGAAGGTCTGTACCATCAAATAACCCTGCCCAAACGAGCGTTATCAATCTCTCAGCGATTCAAATTGTGTACGTGTCGTGAATCTGAGATTGAGCATTGGCGGAACTTTGAATGGTGAACCATCGCTACGTAACAGACGAATTGCCGTCTCTATTGGTGATTATTCCTATTTGTCAAGCAAGGGCCATTTTCCTGAGTATGCTGATAACGGCGAGCTTCGGTGTTCCCCAGGACTCGTATGCGCAGAGTATGGCCGTCGAAAGTAGAAATTTAAGCTAGTGGGGGATGGCTAGACCATACAGGCAGTCTCAAATCGGAATGACTTGAAGATAGCTGCCATATATGGTGCGAGTGATAGCTAATCACCTGCATACTAAGGTAGCCGCTGGCATGGTACGATGTTCTATTCCCTATTATAATTATGCATTTATCTAGGTATAATTTGCACCTCAGTCTAGCTTCTTGGCTAACCAACCGTGACAATAACTGGACCAAGGAAGGCGAACCAACGTACAGACACCGCGCCAACCCTTGCTTCTAACACTTCAGAGGCACGAACAAAATAAGCTCACTCGGGGGCCAGTGAAATCGGTACCTGGGTATCTAGGCGACTGGCGAACCCCGGTAGCGAATGAAAGTAACATCGTCTATAACTGGAACTGAAATAACTAGCGGACCCTCTTTGATTTGGGTACAGGCAGGTAAACCATGTCTCGTCCGTCGCTTGCCCTGCCATCTCTTGCTAAACCTTCGTGGCTGCAGAACATGATACCGGAAGCAAGCAGTACTGCTAAGAAAGCAGTTCGGTAAATAAGCCCGAGGGCAGTGACAAGAAGGAAATGATCAAGAAAGCTGCTGGCATTCGAAACCGATCCGGGGTCGGTATTAGCGATCCTAACAGCCAGGTTTGGTTTGCCCATGATTTGTGAAAGTGTACGCGTCAGAACAGGACATCACAGCGTAGCCACCATACGCACCCGCATTCGCACCCTTCCGAGCCTCGCGTATCCATAAACCTGATCCAGGCCACTAGATTATTCCCTGGCTCAATTCAGGGCGGAAAGTCCAGAGCCTC